ATTGGGCAAATGAAGAAAAAACAGCCTTAAACCAAAACAGCTCTAAAATTTTATCAATATGGATATAAACAAATCACTAAAATGATGTACATGTATGTGTGTGAAATAGAAACATTCGCTTACATCGAAGTGATATAGCTAGCGATGTATAATTATGAATGAGTCTATAACTTTGCAATGAATGAACAGAGGTTTATGTATATTATACTAGGTACATGTAACAAAGTGTCTGTCTCCCAGCAAGTCAAACAAAGAGACAATTTATTATCAGAGACAAGACATGTTAATAATTTATCCTGTATTTAACTCCTGTGTATACGACATCATGATGTCCAGTCGTAGGTCAGACAGATACAGATGGCCGTCTGATCGTTATCTGAAATATTGATTGATACAAGGTAGGAATTAATTAGTGGTGTGACTCCGCACAGTGTAAACCATGTAGATCAAATGGCATATCCTCTCTGGATCTGCATGTCTACTCCATCAGGCTTGATAAAGTTAAACATCTTATATAACATGCTGTAAGTACTATTGGAATATTCTGACATTATTCAAATGCCATATATGTCATTATTCAAAATATTTTTTGAATATTCAAGGTTAATCAAATGTTTGTGGAATATCCAAGGTAATTCAAACATTCAAATGTTCTTTGAAACGTGAATGACATTATTGAGTTGCTATTTGAATTTTCTATGACATTGTTCAAATGCTATTCGAAAAATCAACTTCAATTTTGATGTGGAGTCTTTCTGATGCAGTTTCAGATTTCTAAAAATTTCACTCAACTAGTATTATCAAACACCCTGAATCGGAATCCTTCCATTGACTTGATTGGTGTTCATTATTTACAATGTCTGTGTATATTCAAAATCCGTTCTAATAGCCTTGAATAACTATTCAAATGTGAATGTGTGAACACTAATAAACAGTTAGACAATCCACGTCTGTTATTGGATCCTGTGTACAAATCAGTACAAAGATGCAAACCACGCGTCATACCTGGTGCTATAATGTCAACTGAACATTTGATAGGATGGAGGAATTTCATCATACATGTAAACTAAAATATATTGCACAAGTCTGGACAAGTATTGCCATAATTCTACTAAAACAAATTACATGTATATCTTTGCAAGTGATATAAACTGCTTTAATTACATAAACCAAAATTTCTTAATTGAATAATTGAATTTTGAAAGAAATAATTTCAATCTAACATTTTAATACATACATGTATGTAACCTTTGCGTTCTACAGTATGATCAGCGAAAAGATTTGTAGAGAAACATAAGTTGTCCTGTGAATAAGGCATCAGTCACACACAAATCCAGGCATGCATTCTCAACTTTCAATCACTTTGAGGAATATCTTTATTTTATTTAAAATAAGGAGGAAATTTGGAGCAAATTCTTAACTTTTGTCAGGCATGGATTTGTCTATTTTGTGTATTTTTGTTGATTTTACTAGTTAATATTGTTGGTACAAACTATTAATAAAACTGTTATTTCTGGGTCTGAACTTATAACACGTACTTACTGGTATTCTGGTCATACCGTGAAGCTTCCTACTTACTGGTAATTCATTTGAATAAATTATCATGGTTTCATTTTTCCTGTTTATTTTTCCAGTGCTTGATATCTGTTACGATTTGTTTATACGGTCACAACTTGTTGCCTGTTGGAATGTTAAATACTTTACAGCTACTCTCATCAGTAATAGAAATGAATTTTTCAAATCGCAATGTTTTCACATTTCCAAGTTTAAAACTTAACTCCCACAGTTATCATTACACACATTTCAAATATGTCACCAAATATTTTTGACAACTGTTTTCCCACATATTTATAATCAACGTCTCTCACAGTTAAAACAGATATTTCATCATTTATGCAATCAGCTTTTCCTTTTAACCTTTCACTTAATTATTAGTATTAGTAACTAACCCTAACCAAGTCATATCGGGACTACTAGACCTGTCCCCTCAACTCTAATCAGGTCATATCAGGACTACACTAGACCGGTCCCCTCAACCCTAACCAGGTCATATTGGGACTACTACAAATGTCCCCTCCACCCTAACTGGACCATATTGGGACTACTAGAAATGTCCCCTCAACCCTAACCGGGTCATACCGGGACTACTAGAAATGTCCCCTCAACCCTAACTGGGTCATATCCGGATTACTAGAAATGTCCCCTCACCCCTAACTGGGTCATATCAGGACTTCTTAACCTGTCCCCTCAACGCTAACAAGCTCATATCGTGACTAACATGTATATTTACATGTAAATTATCCATGGAAAATCTACCAGATTTGTCCATGTAAAGGATTGTGACCCAAACATATTACATATTTGTTGATTTCGGAACTAACAATCTAATAGTATATTTTTATATCAATGATTCTCGTGACCTATGGAACATTAAGATTTAATTTACAGATACAAACACTACAATGCCACTATACTTGTATGTATTATTACTAAGAAGACAGTGAAAAATGTTACAATAATATTTCAACAGCAGCTCCAAGTGTGACACTCTAAAGCATCAGGCCACCCCAACCCCTCCCAAAATATACATTTGTAGCAACTATTAGTAACAGACTCTTCTCTACTCAATTGCTACCTTATCAACACTGATTAAAAGGTCAAGGGTCATGGTGTATAAGAAATTTATGGTATGTTAATAATTTTGTATAAACAGACAACTCATCATTTAGCAACTGGGTTAAATATTTCATCACACAGGATGGAAGGTATATAAATAATAAACTAAAATCAAAATACAGTATGTCAGCTTACCCCATACAGAATTCTCATTGCACAATAAAATAACATCATTATAGACCTTGTAATGTAATATTACGTCATACAAAATTCTCAATCCCCAAAAAATAAATTCACATTACAGACCTGAAATCTACTATGTTTTTTTTTAGGCTGTTTTACAAAATGTTCCATCTTTGTAAAGATAAAATCATGAATTGTATGTAAGCTTACCTCTTATAAAATCCTCATTCCCCCAAAAAATACCATCACAATATAGATCGACAACTAACATCAAGGTTTTCTTTGTGTTTTTTGCAGTATTTTGCACTAAGTTTCATCTTTAGTACTGTACAGATAAAATCACGAATTAGTACTGTAGAATATGTTTTGTGAATTCTTTATATATTTCCCTTTTATGCTTGGGAGCAAACTTTATAATTTAATTATACTTTATAATTTAATTTCTTTATTCAGGTGGCCATTGTACATACACGAGTACATGTAGCAGTGCAGTATACTAAACATAACCAACTATTTACAACAACTGTAAAATATAATATATACATGTATGTACAGGTCACATTTCTATGGAATATAATTACTGCTTTAAGTGAGTGACACAGGTAGCCGAATGGTTTGACCCGTGCATGTTGGATCAGAAGGTCCGTCATTGAGTCAAGTGGTGCGGTTTCTATTTCCCGCTTGTACATGACACAGAGTATGGTTGCCTGTTCATCCTCATGGGTTTCCTCTGGGTCCTCTGGTTTCCTCCCACCCCTATGTGCATGTGAATTACGGAAATAAAATTGGACCATGTTAGTCCCGAAATGACCTAGTTTGTGTTGAGTGTATTTCCATCCCTGCACTGCCCTCCTAAATATTGAGAAGTTTTGAAAAATTAGGGATGCAAATAAAAGAAAATGATCACAACAAATAAGTAGATCTCGATATAACACTACAACATTGATATGTACAACCATACACATGTCTTGTATACTACTAAAACTAACGCAATGTTTCTATAAACAAGTCATAGAGTTTAAAGATTCCACAGGTCGTCGTTTGTATATTTACCTTAGAATTTATAATGTTTAACTAATTGATTAAAGTTTAGGGCCTACAGAAAAACATTTAGTTTGTTTAATTGAAAGTCTTTATATAAGAATAAGATAGGTTGGTCGGTCGGTCTGTCTGTTTATTTGTATTTGATGAAAGAAAAGAAAAGGAAAGAAGAGTTTACAATGTCAAGTCAATCGGTGATGATATAATTATGTTCCACCAACCCTGTGGCTATGCTACAGTACATATGTACAGTTCATTTAAAACATCCCACCCTCAACCTACAGTTGATGTTAACACACTTCTCTATTAATTAATCCAACTGAAAAGTTATTGGCGTGAGACTAAATTCCAAACAGACAAATTTTGACAGTGTACATAAACATAATCCTTTTAGTCAATATCAATGAAAACAAAAGACAATGATAATGACATTGACAACTGATAATGGATGACATTGAATTGGCCTCTGAAATGGGGATTACATGTATGTAGACCTACATGTATAAAAGAAATTTATACCTGCTATACTCTACTGTCAACTCTCTATTACATTACCTACATGTAGCAACACACACTGGGTCTACATGTACAGTGGGCAATGGGCATAACATTAACTCTATATTATAATACCCTATAAACACACACTCCATGCCCAGTTCTCCATTACATTACCCATCAACACACATTGACACAAGATTGACAAGACTCCATTTATAGAAGTAATATCAATTCTATTAATATTATTACATTATCCATCAACATACACTCTGTGTATGGTAAATGTATCAACTCTCTATTACATTATCCATCAACGAACACTCTGTGTATGGTACATGTATCAATTCTATTACATTATCGATCAACAAACACTCAGTGTATGGTAGTAATAATATCAACTCATTAATTACATTACCAATCAACAAACACTCTGTGTATGGTGGTAATAATCAACTCTTGTACAGTTGTAATATCAACTCAGTAAAGTCATTATTACAGCCCAACAATTAGTTGATTTTTGAGTTTTGTTAATTTATATCTGTATTTTTCAGATAAATATTTCTTAAATGATGTTTTCAGGCTGATGAAATAGCATATTGTTTAGTAGTTATTGGGACTGGGAATACAAAAAGAAATGAAAACAAATGAAATTATAATCTTACGTTTTAAGCGCATCGTCTGTTCATATGATTGCTGTTCGTGTCGTAACCACATCGAACGGGTCAGCAGAACAGCTTCATCCGTGTACGATCCACTGTCTTCCGTTTCCAACATTTCTTCCGGATTTTTTTCGCGGACCATCCGTAAAAGAACGAATTAATATTAATCCATTTCAACAAACACAAGTAAATTCCAACAGAAAAAAAAAACAGGTCAGAAATTATTATCTTTTAAGGATATCCACTTCAAATTTTGTTTCCTAGATTATTATATAACCAATCCTAAACGATTTCAATTCTTGTTGATGAAAAACCATGCAGCTCTGTTTTGTATTTTTTTCATTTGAAATCTCTGTTTCTTGATTATTGGTGGAGGTACAGAATCAAGAATATTTTTTTTTTTCACTCAGTTCTCGGAAGAATATTTTTATTATGGTGGACTGAAAGTGACACACTGACTCTGGTGTTTAGTCTATAACAAGGTCACGAGTGCCTTTTGCTGGGAACTTACACTTAATAATTCCCAGCAGGCCATAAATATACCACAGCCAGAGCAGACGGAATAGAAAGTTTTATTTCTCTTTAAGTGAACACTTGATAGAAGGTCAATCCAGTACAAATGTGTAGATTACAATTACCCACTCCACATTTATTTATTCACTTTTCTTTCATTCCGGACAAAACGCATTCATGTTCATTCGTTCGATCTCGTTTAGGGAAATTACTCATGTACCATCAACTGAAATTTTTGTATTTTGAATATCCAAAGTTATTTTCCTATTATTTTAACAATTCTTCACACTCCGATCTTGTTCGGAGAGTTAAAATATATATTTTCTTTACAACTACAAAACCTTGAAATCAAATAATTCCTCAATATTTTGGAAAAAGTAAAAAATCCAAGGTAATTTTTCTGATTGTTTTGTAGGTTTCAGGTGTCTAATAAAGATCTTGTAGATGTTGACTTAACCATAGTGTCACTGTTAAATTCATAAAACACGACACTGGACATATTGATGAAGTTTCAAGTATGAGTTACCATTTTAACAACTTCTCAACTGATAAATCCACTCGTATCAATTCAAGAGTTCGGTTATAAATATTCATAAGTTTAACTTAGAAACGAAACACAAGATGAACGATATCTTCAACGTTTTTCTTTTAGAAAAAAAACAAATGAAAATGTAAATTGAGAAAGCATCAAATTACTCCAAAAACACTTGACTGAAAATATGATACACACAATTTCAATATACACTCAAAGATAGCACAAATTTGAATAAAACATTTCTCTAGAAATTAGTTCTACACAAATCTGTGTGTATTCATGTCTGAACAGGAGACCATTATTAAAAATGAGGATGTCGGTCAATCAATCAAATTGTCAAGTTGACAGAATAGCTTTTATCTATGTTGTTGGAGTAAAATATTCATCCTCCATCCATCCATGTATATATAACATTTAACGTTTTACACCCACTACCCCCTAGCAGAGAATTCAGACAGTCGAGACCGGCTGATGTTTCAATCATCCATAACAGTATTATTACACTCACTGGTCTCTACACAAGATGGTCTCTCAAGAACAATAATATCGCTAGTTTTAACTGGATACAACCATAAATTCCATTGTTGTTGACTTGATTAATAGCTGCACCACATCATCACAAATACAAAACAACAACAGATCAGTAGGACTTTAAACTCTATTGTCATTTGGTGCCACGCCCCCCCAGGTATATGACCAGTATATTAACCAGTATACCATGTTTTATAGGCCAGATGTTATAACCAGCCTCAACACAACTGTATTATGTAACACCAAGTCAGTCATTAATCCACAATTAGCAAGCTACTCTTTGTTTCCACTGGTCAGTGGTCCTTGCTTTAACCAGGTGTCCGCTCTGAACATGCCAGCCTCAGTTTCATTTAGTTATTTAGATAGATATATCCAGTATATTTTGACCCGACCAGATGGATGATGATAAAAGCAACGTGATGCCCGTCTTCTTTCTAACAGCCAACCATAATTGGTTGTTTCCCTAAACCACCCTCTGGATCTACCAACTCTCAACCAATCACAGCTGTTGACCCAGTGAAGTTATTTATAACCGACCAATGAGAGAGGGTGGCATAGAATTGGGGAGTCTATGTACAAGTGAGAAGATAAGTGGGTCTACACATATGTATTTAACAGTTCTATTTTAGGTCAGTTTGAGTGTCGGATGCTAGGCAGGGATACCGGACCTGCTGTATACCAAGTGGACATATCTGATGTAGAGATAATGTAAGAGACTAGACAGATAGTTAGAACAATAAACAATGGAAAAAGAGAGACAAGAGGAGAGAGGATATTGTCAGAATCTTGTATCCCATCAATGTTAAGCCAAGAGAGAAGAAATGTGACTCATGAACTCTGATCAGCTGTTCCATTTTTAAACCTTGTAACAAGAACCTTAACTTAACCCCTTTTTTTATCATCAGACGTACTTTCACCTTTCATCATGCACTCAGCAAGAAGATAAATTATTATCTAATATGTCTATTTATAGAATAACATATAAATATCATTATAAAATTATCAAAACACTTGAGACTATCTTCAACATATTTCTTTACACCATAAATTATAGAAGAAGAAAAAACAAATTGTAGAAGAAGAAAAAACAAAATGTAGAAGTAATTTAAATTTAAATGATTTCAAAGCAGCAAGAAATGCAACGACAGTTTCTGATAGTCATTTAAGGGATTTTTACTCTCTTGTAAGCTACAAGGGGGTGGGAGACCAAGGGGTGCTTTAGACATAAGGATTTCAAAACAGAAGAAAATGCAACATTTTCCGTCCTCTTATACTCTCCTATAGCCATTAAATTTCTCGCAGCTTGATCTATGCTAATTATGTTCAAAAATACATGTACCAATTCTAGATAACCTTTCTGCCTGGATTCACTTTCTTCCAATAAAAGATGGTGTGCAACATAAATCGATGAAATTTTAATTCATCATAACTGAACGGAATTGAGAAGTGGGAAAATTTATATTCTCCAAAAAATTAAACTGATGCATAGGGACAGTTATTATGAGTTAATATCAATGCATAAACTCTGCTACTACTAGGAATTTAAGTCCACTGTCACCTTGGGCATGTAGCAGATGGTAATAAGTTTACTTTGGGTGGACAATGATTGAAAGTTTGAAGGACCAATAGAAGGGTAATAAAGTTATTGTGTAGGGTATGAATTGAATTATAAGGGTTATTTAAGGAGCTAGAGAGTATAGTACAAGTTGGTGTCAGTCTATTATGATTGACAGCTTGTTTCAGGTACATTGGTAATACGACATTGTACAACAGTCTATATGGGAGCCACATTGACTCGATGAGTAAGGTGCTAGCGCGCTAGCCTGGAGGATATCTCAAGTTCGCTTCCAGTGTTTGCTGAGAGAATTCCTCTGGATTTTCTCATGTGGTTTTCCTCTAGCAAGGAACATTTAGTTCAGATGGGATGAAAAACCAAGGTACGGTGGACATGTTCGCATAAACATAAAAGAACGCCAGATGACTAGAAAATTGAAATAAAGATATACATGTAGGTTATAATGTCTGTATTCTTTAGCCCAGTAGGTGCATAAAAGCAGGACAGTAAACTCGATTTAATTTCTTTTCTAAACTGATCTAAATACAGCCAACTATCAGCCCTGTGAAACCCCTTCTTTCAGTTTTATCCACCAGACCACCCAACGACCCGTCAATTATCATACAAATCATATGTCTAGATTTTATAATCTCCAAGTTTCAAAAGATAAAATATGAACTATATGTAAACAAAACAATCTATGATAAGCTCAATGATACAATATTTTATATCTTTATAAAATGGGGACAAATCATAATTCTTGATATTAATATCAAAGATAAAATTATGTAAGAGTTACATGTAAATCTGCCTATTTCAGGTCTTTTTCTAGCTTCATATAAAATAGGCCTTAATTCCTATCACAAGCCCATAACTAACACACTTGACTATCAGATGGCCGAGATATTGAATGGATTAGACCAATCATATTGAATGGATTAGACCAATCATATTGAATGGATTAGACCAATCATATTGAATGGATTAGAAAAATCACGCTTCACGCCATTTAATAATTTAATGTTAAAATGGCATAATCAAGACTTTTCTTATTATCGAAGCAATGATACTTGACAATCAAGGCAATTGTGAAAACTTCAAGCACTCATAACTTCACCTAGAATCAAGTTAATTTGACTGCAATTTTCAATATATTTTTGAACTATAACAGGAACAATGCCCAGCTCTGTACCTGGATCTTACCATCTGTTATATTATCACTATATTTTGAGTGACTTTAATTTAGAATGGCAACACCTTACATGTATTAAAGGGGAAGACCAACGATTTTCAATAAGGTTTCCATAAATAATAAATATATATTTAGAAATAATCCCTCCTATAACATATGCAAAAAATAATTTGCAAGCGAGAAATTAATTTTTATTAATACCGGAAGTGACGTAGTTGGTTCGACACGCTCATTGGTCACTATAGTAAACATACAAATCTGGAGCAAGTTTAGTGCTGTATTTTGTGATCGTTTCGCCGTTTGGCAGAAAATCTGATGAAAGGTAATCTTTATTAGGATATTAAGAACATGAACTTACGGTGTTTTGAAGGTATAATATACAACGCGTTTGTGTAAATTAAGTTTCTAAACTGGACACTGTGACACAATTTAAGCCACATGGCTAATTGTTTACATCACGTGATAGCTGGCACGTGACAGATATTAACCGAACACAAATTGGCGACCTATTCGGCTAGCGACCTATTCAACCGATCCAGCTGGCAACCTGTTCGTTGGCAACCTATTCAGAATGAGAGCGCACCCCTTTAATATGATTGTGCCAACTTTTACTAATAATATTTCGAAAGCTTATTTAATCAGCTTTCGGAATATATTTAGTTGGATGTCCAGAATTTTGTAAGATAATGCGAAATTACATCTCTATTCTGAGCTAAAGGAATGGATAAATGATAATATATTCTACTTTCATTTGATAGACGTTACGTTGGATTTTATTGGTTGATAAAAATAGATGAGTTTGGGCGACTGTTGAATTTATTCTGAATAGGTTGCCAACGAACAGGTTGCCAGCTGGATCGGTCGAATAGGTTGCTAGCCGAATAGGTCGCCAATTTGTGTTCGGTTAATATCTGTCACGTGCCAGCTATCACGTGATGTAAACAATGTGGCTTAAATTGTGTCACAGTGTCCAGTTTAGAAACTTAATTTACACAAACGCGTTGTATATTATACCTTCAAAACACCGTAAGTTCTTAATATCCTAATAAAGATTACCTTTCATCAGATTTTCTGCCAAACGGCGAAACGATCACAAAATACAGCGCTAAACTTACTCCAAATTTATATGTTTACTATAGTGACCAGTGAGCGTGTCGAACCAACTACGTCACTTCCGGTATTAATAAAAATTAATTTCTCGCTTACAAATTATTTTTTGCATATGTTATAGGAGGGATTATTTCTAAATATATATTTATTATTTATGGAATATTGGAAACCTTATTGAAAATCGTTGGTCTTCCCCTTTAACCTTTTCTTTACTTAAAGGGGAATTGTATGTAAGATAAAATCTGTCCGTTCTCGTTATAATTATATTCAAAAATAGATAATAATACAAAATGAATATTGAAAATTTCATTTTAATTACTTTATTTTGAGCGAAGTTATCAGTGGTTGTAGTTCTGACAAGATGTCTTGTCATGTTAATAAATGTCTAATTAATAATTTATAAATCATTTACGGCCGAAATAAAGACATGCTATAGGTAGATTTAGCTCTTGCATAATGCCTGTTTAAATTTTGTATCCCTTTTTTTCTGACTACCAGTAATTGGTGAAATATGGTAAATAACAATATAGAATACCTTTTATAGCAGTAATAACGAATGTAAGAAACTCACCAATTAGCTAACAACCAAACTGATATAGACGACATTCCTGTATGACACATTACTCACATGCTTCAAATACAAGAAAAATTATAATCCCTTAAACTATTTTCTTTGCTTCAAGTCAACTACAC